ACTTTTTTAACAGAACCTCGTCTAACCCTAAGAATCTCTTTCAACCCTTCCTTAAGAACCATCTCCAACCCTTCCCAAAGTCCACAAGATCTTGGACAATCTACAAACATGCAAAAACTGACCGTCGAGGCGAATATGTCATCGCGCGCCCCAGCCACATCCGAGTGTGAAAGCGATGCGGCGGAACGATGTGCCCCAGACTTTCGGACCCCGAAACAAATGAAAAGCGAATGTGTCTGCAAAAAAATTCGTAAAGTACGAAAAAACGACTGACCAGTGGTCAGCCGGCTGTCTGCAAAAAAAGCCGCGAGGGAGACGCTGAGGACAAGCCCGAGCTCCCCGCCCCAGCCCCAGACGGCCCGCCTCGCCCAGACAGAAAAAACGAATAATACGAAAAAAGAATGACACAACAAGAGTATTGTTTTTGGATTGCGCGCAACGTTATCACCGGCTTGTTGAGATCGAGTTCGTATTATATAATGGACGTTCGACGTGCATTGCAATATGATACTTATTGGTTATAGTAAAGTTGATCTTATTGTCTATATTAAAGGCGTATGACTAGTCTTACAGCCTAAATTAAGATCTTCTTAGTTAGCCTTCTTGTCCATATTCAAAAAAGTCTTGTCGTTTTTTAACGTCTAAGACAATGCAAATTGACGACAAAGCTTTTTTAACATCCTAAAACGACTACAAACCAAAATACTATAGTATAAAACCGTGCTATTAATTTTTCAAACAATTCTGTGCCTTCTACACCAAAAAATGGCTTTGAGACGAGGCACAGAATTATTTGAACAAGCTAATATTATTTTTCGTCATCATTCCCACTGTAACATCACAAACTCAATCACCTTCAAAATACTCACAGTAACCATCATGATTAATATAAAATGTTTCAAAACGTGTTAACTGGCATCACATGAAAACAAACCTCCAGGTCATCATGAAAATTCTAATAAACTGTCCTCCACCATCCACTCATTACCATATCCGGAGGGCCTGAAAGAGAAAACCAATTTTATAAACGTTTTTTCGTATTACGCGCTTCAGAATCACGTAAAATGAAAGTGAAACGGAATGTTAACTTCACGTTATTACACAAATTAAGATCAAGCGTACAAGTTGTTGTCCTATTGAGGTGGAAAAAAAGTTTTGTCGTTTTTCAGATGGCGATATATATATAGTAGATTGTTTTGAAAATCGACCGGTAAATCAGATTTAACTCTAAGATCTAAAAAAGACGACCAGAAGATAATATTACATTGTTCAAATAATTCTGAACCCCTTTTCAAGGCAAATTTCCTTGGTAAGTAGCTCAGAATTATTTAAACAACCTAATAAATTGACGACAAGACTTTTTAGAAGCCCAATATATAGAAAATTAATAACATTTTATAACAATGCATAAGTAAAACATCATAAAATCGTAACTATTACCTAAAAAACACAAAAACTAAAAGAAAAATACAAAATTAACATAAAGGAAAATGGTGAATTTAAAAACCTAAAAACAGCGGAAAATAGTTGTTTTTTCAAGGTTAAACCAACAAAAACAATTACAAAACCATTAAAAGCTCTTTTTCAAGTTTGTTTATCAATTCGAAAAAACAAAAATCAATTTCTGACCCTTTGAAATTGCAAAAAAAATTAAATTAGCTATAAAAAAAGAAAATAACGCGCTATCAGTGCAAAAATGATAATAATATAAAGAAAAACAAATGGATAATATTATAAAAACATTGAAAATTAATAGCAAATACGTATGTAAAGATAACAATGTAAAGAAAACCATAGATAATATTATAAAAAAGTTGGTAATTAAGAAAAAAATGTTTAAGTTGAGCCAAGAGATATTAAAAAATAGGTATAGATAAAAATAAAGTCCAAGAAACGTTGAAAAAATAGGTATAGATCCTTGAAACTTATTAAAATCGGTGCGAGAAAAAATGTAAAACAAGATAAAACAAAAAATTTAGGTAAAAATAAAACTAATTTTTAAAATTTAATACCTAAAATTATAAGTTTTTGCCAAAACTTCGATAAAAAATATTCATTTTGTTAAGAAATTTGGGCGCAAATCGCTGAAACTTGCAAGCGACATTTTATACGCAAAAAACAAAACTAATGAAAGTGCTTTGGCTAGTCCTAGATTAAAACAAGCTTTAAAATACTAACCAAAAATAAAATTTTTTTTAAAAATATCATTTCAAAAACCGTCTTAAAATTTTTTTACAATTAAAGCCGGCTTCAATCCAAGCACCCAGCCATCACTTTCCTCAGGCCGTAATTCAGCCATCCCTTCCCTCACCCCTCGACCAGCCCCAATTCCCCACCGAAAATACAAAAACATTCGACGTTCGGAAAAGGTCGGGTCCACGCCTTTGACGCATCCAGCTAGCCACGCCACGTTCGATCGCAAAACAAACGGCCGAAACTATTGTACGCGGCCCCGCCCCGAGGGGGGATTCTATTTCCGGAAACAAAGCGACGCTTATTTTTGGCGACTTATTGTGCTGCACTGTTGCCCCCTCAGGGGGACAACAGTGCTGCACAATAAGGTTTCAGCCCGCTCCTGGACAAACAAAGGCGGGCCGGCTAGTCGGCCGTGAGACTTGTTGAAAGCCAGCGGGCGTTCCTCTTATCATGGCTTTGATGGGCGTGGTATTTTCGGACTGTCTGGTTAGTGTTTTCTTAAATTTTTGTTAGTTTTTTGGCTATTTTTAGGTTAGTCTGATCTATTTTTAGGTTAGTCTGGTCTATTTTTATTCTCATATTAACTATGTTGTTTTATTAAACAGTCTTTTTACCTAAAGTTTTAGCCAAACCCTCAAACCCCCCCCCCTCCATTTTTGCTACAATTTTTGTTTAGTCTTTTGTTTTGTTTCGTCTTAACCACTGATAAAAGGCGATTATGCAAAAACGCTGGAAATAATCGTAAAGCAGAACATTGGAACACAATACAATCTCGGTTGACCTTCATAATGCACTTTCCGACACGCTATACACGCCGCTCTTCACGGTCCGTCCGAAACAAAAAACAGCCGGCTGGAAGGTGAAAGTGCGCGAGACGTTGCGCAATCGGCAAACAATGAACGATCGGAAAGCGAGCGCGCACTGTGACACCTGAGGGTAGTCGGGGGGCTGCATGGTTAATTTTTAAGGTTTAAAGCTTTGATTGGACTTTGGAATCAGGTTATCCTTTTCTGGATAACTTAGTGAACCCTCAAGCTGTATGGAACCCTAGCCTCCATCAAGATATTGCCATACCCTTCTGAACCCCCAGGGGCCATAAAACTTCTAAAGTTTCCATCAGAATCTTACCCATACCCTTTTGAACCCCCAGGTCTTACACAAGCCCTAAACTCCACGTAGTCCCCATCAAAATACTACCAATCCCCTCCAGAACCCCTAGCCCCCATAGAAGCCCTAAATTCCCCGTAGTCCCCATCAGACTGTCCGTTCCCCCGGTGAAACGGGGAAAACGAGGCTTAATTCCTTTCGTTTTTGTTGGTTCGCAAAATGCGACGTCCGGAAAATGCAGCAAAAACTATACTAAAAATTGGCTGATCAGCCAGAAGCGTGAGAGACACAGCTGAGTGATAGAGAGGGTTAGACAGTCAGAGAAAAAACAATAATGGACTGAACCGTCATATCATAGACAAGATGTTATGAACGTGATCTTTTATGATCTGGACGAGTTATTATAAAGTTTATTATTAAAGTTAGTTGTTATAGCCTGAGGGTTTATATCCTATTAAAAATTTTTGAAAAAAGTGGCTTTCTTAAGTTAAAGCATGGTACTAAGAGCCCTATTTTACTGTAAACGTTACTACAACATTAAAAAAATCAAAAATATAAACAAAAAATTTAAAAAACCAAAAAAAATTAATTTGCAGCTGTTTTTTCTAATTAAACCCTCTAGCAGCTAGCCGAAGAACAAGAAAAAGTAGCCAAACCTGAAGCCGGTTTTCCCAAGTTGGTCGATGTTACAAAACTCATCGAGAACAAAGGAACTAGCCTTAAAACAAGCGCTTGCCCTCGGGGCATTTGAACGGGCCCATCACACGTCCCGACGCCCCATGGCTATTGTACAAAGAAGGGGGTTTAAACAAAAAAAGCAATCCAGTCATTTTTGGGCTGATTGCTTGTCCATTGGTCTCTTTTTAGCCTGTGTTCTCTCTAGTTTTGTCTCTTTTTCTCTCGTTTTCTCTAGGGGCTTGTCTCTCTTTTTTTCGTTATCTCTAGGCTTTTCTCTGCTTGGGGTCTTGTTGTACTCTCTCTTGATTTCTTTTGCCTTTTGTACTCTCTCACGCTTTCTTTTGTCTTTCCTTTACTCTCACGTTTCCTTACTCTCTAGCTCTTTCTCTCCCTCGCTAGCCTTTCCTCCCCCTCTCTCACGCTTCCTCCTCCTCTCTAGCCTATACAATAACATGATATAACACCACCGTCCCTCGCCACACAACAATACAAAAAGAAAATAAAACCACAAAAGAAAACGGAATCAGAACGACGTTGAAAGCGACTAAAAATAGTTCAATTGTTGGTCGTAATAACGGCCCCAAAATACCCGCTCGGACCTCGCGTATGTTTGGATAGTGATAAAAATAGAAAGTTCATTGTCACGGGAATCAGAAACCAGAATGCGGCCGAGTAAACAACACAACAAACACAACATAATCAAGCACGTGATGGTCATTGAGAATTGTAAGAATGTAAAAATAAACCTTTTTCAAAATGCTTGAGTGTTCGAATATAAATGAGCCAAAATTTTCAAAGTTGGGTACTATGGCTCAACCATAGTTGGACAACGTAATATAGGCTTATTTATATTTAAATAACAATAGAAGTACAGTTTAAAAAGAAGCAGTTAAACCAAATGTGTTGTCGACAGCCAAGAAAATGAAAATCACTTTCAAGAACGCGTGATCACGTCTAATGGACCACCTACCCCCCCCTCCCTTTGACGTCCTTTAACGGTCTGTTTAAAGCAAGAAGCGATGACCTTTGACGAAGACTACAAAAACACCTACGGCTGTAAAGCCTACACTCAGGTGTGTGATAAATCATCTAAATCATTCCACAGTGACCAGAGGAATGTGACCAAAACAGAAAGTGAAAGTGGTGTCGTTGATAGTAAAAGTGGAAGATGTGGTGGATGGATGAGCGCGACGGACACGCCCCGTGTGTCGTCGACCAAATGTCCCCCAGGAAACGAAAAAACGAATGGAAATGGAGAGCGAAGGTAACCCTTAAAACAGCTGCTTTCACTTTTAATGGGCGATTGCGCAATTCGGCGTGTAGAAGCGACGTTACGAAGGGACAGCCGGCTGTCGGAGGTACCCCCGCGCAAAACACGTTTTCCCTCCGCCCGACATCGCCGAACGTCGGATTTGGTGGCGGATAAAAGAGAGGGACGCATTTTGCAAGAGGATAAAAGACTACCTGTGGGCATCAGAATCCAGTTTTGCGCCCTCATCAGACGGATGAGTCGTTGTTGCGCAACGAAAAGCGAAAACTGTACGATGATTACATATAAAGAGGGGGGATTCGCTTCTGCAGCTGAATTATTTTGCGGAAAGCGAAAGTGAACGAAACAGAGTAACATAGCAATACAAGGGGGAGAGTAATGTATCAATACAAGGGGGGGGGGAGGCGTAATGTAGCAATACAAAGGAGGGTTTAATTAAAATGGCAATATAAAAATATGAAAGAATAAAGAGTGACATAGTAGCCATAAAGAAGGAGGTACAGAAGAGTATCCTAGCTATAAAAAAGAGTGTAAAAGAAACAACACAGCAACGTAAACGCAAAAGTAATGTATCAATGTAAAAAACAAGTAATAATTTGCAAAAAACTTTTAATACTGACCTTACTTTACCATAACCAACCGTAACCTACAGTAATTTAAATTTGCTTTACTCTACCTTAACCTACTCTAACATACCCTAATATACCCTAACGTACTTTAACATACTGTAACATACCCTAACCTAACCTTCCCTAACCTACTGTAACATACCCTAACACTCCATAACTTACCCTAACATACCCTAACCTAACCTACCCCACCTCTCCCATTTGTAAGCAAACTTGCAAAAACCCCGAACCCGGACCGGCCGCAACCCGCCGTCTCTTTTCACGGACACCATATGATCGTACTAGTGGCGAGAAGGCCCACGTGCCGTCAAACACAGCAAGAACATAATAAGGTAACAAGTTTTTTTTCTGGGGCCGTCTGGCCAGCTGCTGCCCAAGACGCCGAGACAGTTGGCCGGCCGGTGTTGTTCGACCGTCCATGACGCCGTCTGATCCACTATATAGCCGATCGGTGGGGGGAGAGCCAAAAATAGAAACACAAAATAATAAAAAGAAGGCGAGCCGCTCCAATTCTTTAGTACATTGGTGTGGCAAACAACATAACAAAAGAGCGATAGTCATCAAAGTGAAATATTACATTTCTTGGTGTCGGTTTATACTGTAGTTTTGGGTTGACGGCTAATTATTAGCCAAAGGGTATTTCTTTAAGCAAAGAAGTTTCGTTGTTGTCGAATAAGGTATGGCAAGTTGGTCAAATTGTTTATATAGGTATGGATAATCATGATGTATGAAGATAAGCCTTCCGTTGAACATAGAATCCTTAAATCATAGTCATTAAAAGCCAGCAAAATCAAGCCGAAACTAGTCATTTGCTCGTGTTCTACTATGCCAAACACAGCCGACATATCAAAGCTAAAGCCCGGCTTTTAGGCCAGGTCTAGTCAAAGTCCATAAGCTTCTAGATTCTAACAGTTCACAGTCCATAACCTTCAAATTCAGTATATACCAACTTTCTTTAACAGTATTTACCGTCTTTCTCAATACCTGCCTTAGTAATATTGTCTTACTAATTCTTCGCCAAACTTTTTTAATCAAACAGCTCGGTCGATTGTCCGAATATTTTTTTTCGCGACGACCTTGAGCGTATCCTTGCAAATCCAGCCATTTTTGTTACACATCCGCCTCACAGCGAGAAGCTACAAACAAAAGTGAAACTGGTCGCAATGTCCTTTTAAATGTCTTTGCGCAACGAACGAAAGTGAAAGACGAACCTGTTCGTCAAAGGGTTTCTTGAGCTATATCATGATCGTTTAGGTGGCTACCACGGGGATAATGTCACTGTATTTGATGTGTGGCCCCATAAGAGTAATTTCACTGTATTTGGTTTTGTATGTGACTACCACATGATTAATGCCAATGTATTTGATAAGGTTTTGTAAAAAAAGTTTTTTTTGTTTTACAGTAAGGAAAGTACTGTAGTTGGCCTTGTATTAGCATACTACATCAAAAAAAAAATTTTTTTATTTTTTTTTTACTCGTTCTATTTCAATTAGACTACCCTTACTAGGCCTGTAAGGCCCAATTTTTTAGTCTAAAACCACTGGCTAAGCCAGGTACATCTCTTTGTCAGGTCTAGTTTCATCACCTCCGCTTCTTTTTGGCCATAAACTTACGCTTACAAGGAAAGTACCCGACCTGCCCGCTCTGATTGACTTCAAACTTTTTATAAAGAAAGATCATGTAAATATAAGATCTTCAGCAAACTACTAAATCGCGCTTTCCAGGAAATCTCGAGAAAATCGAGATTAAAAAATGACATTTTGAATTTTCCGCCAACTTGGCATTGTGTTTCAAGCTTGTAACTTTGTCATTTTTTGACTTTTAATAATTTTTCTTTGATATACTAGTAGAATACCTTTAAATGAACCTGCATTTTAAAATTTGTAAGCGTGCCTTGTCTGGAAAGCCGAAAAAGTGTTTGAAACACAATGCCAAATTTGCCAAATTGGCGGAAAACGCAAATAATCCAAATTTAAAACTCAAAAGCGCGAGCTAAAATTTTTTATGGGTACTAATGGTGGTACAAAGAATTCATAGAAAAATTTTGAGCTGATTCTGAGCGGGGCAGGTAGGGTACTTTCCTTGTTAGTCTTATAACTTAAAACCTATCCTTCCCCCCCCACCCCCCCATATATCATCTCACCACCGTACCTCCTCAACTTTCCTTCCCTCCTTCTCCTCCCCCCCCCTCCCCCTCCCATCTTCTCACCTAAAACTCATATTTTAAACCCGTAATTAAAAAACTTTTCTCTTAAGGTTCTAGTCTAAAGATTGTCATCGACGCGAGAATCACATGTCAGTTGGAACAAAGGAAAAGAAACAAAAAGTCCTTATCACTGGTCTTGTGCTATCAGCCCGAGTCGCCCAAACAATGGACAACAACCACAGCATATTAAAAAGCGACCTTTTTTTGAATTTTATGAGCTCTAGCGGCGGAAAAAACCGTCTGGCTGAGTGTTAGGTTTTGATAATATTATAAATGGTCTAGAGGTTTTGTTTGGCCTCTTTTGACCGTAGCTTGGCTACTGTAACTATAAAGGTAAAAAAGTTGTAACAAGGCTGGACAAGGCTAGACAAGGTCAGATGGTTGTATAATAGCTTGAGAAGGAATAGGGATGGAGATTGAAGGATAAGTAGAGGAAGGGCGAATGACAATAGGACTGGGGAAAGATAATTAAAAAAATTTTTTTTTTCATGTTTTCAATTTTAAATCTTTAGTGAATTCTTTAACAGTACACATTTCCCCATAATGATGAATTGAGAAAAAAGATTTGGTCAAACGAAATTTATATGCTACAGCTGTTGATAAGATGCATATGTCCACAAGAACACACCTGCTACGTAAAAAATAATGAAATAATAGTAAAAAGTGATACGATTTCAAAATTTTGTAAAGTAGCTGAACTTGAAAATGAAAATTATAACTTTAATTGTAAACTAGGCTAGGTTAACTAGTGTTGGGCAGCTAATTTTAGTCTACAAAACCAACGAGGGGGTAGACGCTTTAAAGTAAAAAAATAAAATCACTACTCCCCCACACCCTACCTTACCCATTACATTCCTCTCAGCCTCAAATAACCCTGACTTAACTGTATAATTGCTTTTTACTTTATATTGTAGTAGCTTGGCACTACCTTATAGTCCAAAAAACCTCAAAAAACATCAAAAAGTAAGCTAATAACACATAAACTACCAAACACTAATACGATAATACTACGACTATATAATAAACATTCGAAAAACGTCTATAAATATGCAACCTACGTTTTCTTAGGCCTCTAAATCCCCTCCGGGCACTACATTTTTTACACGAAAAAAGAAAAGTTGGTCGAAAAAAACGACTAGATTAGAACCAACATACAACTGAAAATGGAATAAGAGGGCACACTTTGTGGCCACTAATTCCGGACAAAAAAGTTTATATTTAGTAATGGCAGTGACCATTCCGGCTTCTCAATTAGATGTTCAAGTGTTTTAAAGATTAGAGAAGTGGCTACTCAAGTTTGGCGTTTTTCAGTGTTCCTTTAGTTGTAGGGTAGGGTAGAGTACGGTAAGGTAGAGTAAAGTAGAGTAGGGTAAGATAAAGTAGACAAAGAATGAAAAATGTAAAAAAATTGTTCCGGGATTCGTTATACAGGATTTAAAATACATACGTAAAATACAATGCCAGTAAAACAAGATAAAACATATTTGGCAAGTTCCCAGTAACCTTTATTGTCCACCCCAAATGCTCTTGTTTGTTATGTTAATGAGAAAACGAGTCACCAAAACCGGACGTTGGTCCTTTTTTGGTCGATTCCGACTTCAAACAGCGTATCATAGCTTGATTAAACTAAAAAAACATCTGTCTAACCTAAATTTGAAACAATGATAATACCACAGTGGTTTGTCTAGTCTTTTTCTTTGCCTTGCCTTGCCTTGCCTTGCCTTGCCTTGCCTTGCCTTGCCTTGCCTTGCCTTGCCTTGCCTTGCCTTGCCTTGTCGTCACTTTTATCAAAATCTGCTTTAACTCCACCAACAGCCTCTCCAAAACCATCAACAACCCCTCTCAATGTCCGATAGTAGCCGACTGACCGAAAGACCTTGAACGTTGCCGCTGTACCTACAATTTTAAAAACTAGTAATTTTTGAAAACAGTAAAAAACGGCCTTGTCCATCGTTCCCCAAAACATTTCTCGCGCATCACACGTCTACACGACTGTAAAGTTTGTAAAATTTATGGAAAAGGTTCAGGAAGACCACAAAATAAGGAAACACTTGTTTATAACAACATATATTGATAAATTAAGTAACTTTAGGCAAAAAAGTTATTTTTTTTGATCAGTCCAGCGACATTTTGAAAAAAAAATTAAGAAAAAGTTACAGTTTG